CGGGCGTGAAATTCCTAAGCTCTAAATCAACATTAACAAAGTTGATTTAGCCTTATTAGCAACCAATAAACAAGGATCTTGGACAATCTAATCCTAAACTCCATAACTCAACTCCAAAATTCTCCTAATCTACCTAACCCAAAGATTCAAAATGACTACTCACTCATGGTCATGAAAGCACAAAGTAATGTGTTTGATCTTTGTGAAATCATGATTAGAGATTGTAGATTAAGAAAATGAAGAAATACTTATATTAAAACTTGAAGATTCAAATACAAAATCCAAGAAAAAATCTTAAAACATAGCATAAGCTCCATAATTTTCGGGCTTGAAACATTTATATAGCATAAGAAATCGATACGGGTCAACCCGAGATGAACCGGGTCAAACCCAAAGTCTTTATATCCAACCGGTCGATTGTATGGTCGATTGAAAACTTGTTTTGGCGTCTGTTTCACTCCAACCGACCTGCCAACCGACCTGTTGGTCGATTGGAATTCTCGATGGCTTCTATCTTCGTTCTGTATGGATATACTCTCAATAAATCAGTCATAACTCATGAACCACAACTCTGATTGGCCTGAAACAACCACCGTTGGAAAGCTAATTCGATTTCCTATCTCTTTTGTTCAGAGCTTAAAAGCTAAATCACAAGGTCAAGCATTCATCAGAGTCGATCTTTGAGAGACTTCGGACTGGATTTGCATCATCAATCCTCCACTTTGCATTCAAAAATGTGTCTTTATTATCTTAACCTGAAATAACTTAAAAGACAACCAAAACACACTAAAACACACTTAAACACACTATATGACTTCTAAAAAGTAAGAAGAATCATTTAGACACTAAATGCAACAAAACACAATGAAAATACAATTGAAACATGATAAAAAGGATAATAAAACCCTTAATAAAGCTGTAAATATGATGTGTATCATCTACCAATTCCAACAAGTCCATAATAAGTGACTCATATCATAGTTTAGACATGTGATGAAAATAAAGATAATGAGTCCTCATTTTACTTTTTACTTTTCTTTACGGACAATTTTTTTCTCCATAAATGACAAAGACGTGTCGTTTAGTGGTTTGTACTAATTGTCACCACCCGGGTTCATCAAGTTCGTATAATGCATGTTCTTAGAAAAAGAAAGTACCCTAGCTAGTAACCACCTAATGTTTTATTACAAAACCTAACTAATCCAGCCAACTTATTAACCTAACTAATCTAACCACACCTAGCTATTCTTAGATTTACCTAACTAAATTAGAGAGATTGAGTAGGCTGGTTAAAAACCATAAAGATTCACTTTTTTCATTAAGAATGCGTTAATTCAGTATACGACTTATTTTATTGATTCACTCTTTCCCTCAAGCCTAAGCTAATTGAATCAATATATGACTTAACTAATTGCTGGTAATTGCTATTTACTCTAATTTAGTTAGTTAGATCTGTAAATGTATATTGTTGTGGCATTAGAAATGTATACAAAACATATATTCTCTATCCTATTCGGATTCCATAAATTAAACTAATATGTGCTTAAAATTACTTTTTTCCAAATCGTTAAAGTAAGTGTTGATTCTTGTACAACCAAGATATCAGATGTTTATATGTAAGAAGAATCTTACACGTTGTTACTAATCCACTGAAAATTTATTTTCTTCGATAGCCAATATATAGATAGAAATCGAATCCCTCCCAATAAGATGACAACAAAGAAATGATGATTTAAATTTGATCTTTCATGTAAGATAGTTTCTAATAACCTTATAAATATAAATAAGTTAGATATTAAGAAGGTTTTCTGTATACATTCTCTCAAAATTCCGAAATCTATTACGTACAGAATTATATACTAGACCAACGAGAATCTAAAATCTGAGTATTTGAAAGAAGATAAAATATTATTACGTGCAAAAGAAGTTAACAGTTTCTATTATTTCTTTACTAGCTAGATAGTTTATATTTTATGATTTTAATGCAAAAATTTCAACCAGAAAAATATTAGTTAAAATGCAACCCAATCTAGTTCAGTTCTCTATATTAGTGTGTATATATATACTTTGTCAGCACACTAGTACACATCATAAAAACACACATTCATATCCATAAACATCAAGAAAGCTCACAAGAAAGCTCCTCCAATGGCGGATTCAAGTTCTTCTCTCCTTCCTCTTTGCGAAAAGATCTCACACAAAAGCTATGTTTTGAGAACTTTGGATCTCACGATTCTCGGCCTTCTCTTTTCTCTTCTCTCATATAGAATCTTACATATGAGCCAATACGACAATGCTTGGCTTGTGGCTTTCCTCTGTGAATCTATTTTCTTATTCATATGGCTGATTATTATCTGCGTAAAATGGAGTCCTGCTGAAGATAAACCCTATCCAAATAGACTTACTGAAAGGTACCATTCTTTTTTGGTACGATGAAATATACCATTTTACTTACACACATAACGATCATTTTCTTAATAAGCATGAGAAACCTTAGACTACAACAAATTCATTTAACATGAATGAAAAATTAATTTATATATAGTTCTTATTAAATTTATATAAAGTCTTAACTTGCTTCTAGCTCTTATTAAAGTGATTTGCGTTAAGATACAAGAAATTAACATCATTTATTTGAATTTAATCTTCCTTTTCCTTTTCTAAAACTCCTTACAAAACTTTCAAATTTCAGGGTTCATGATCATGATCTTCCTTTAGTAGATATGTTCGTTCCCACCGCAGATCCGGTTAGGGAGCCGCCAATTATTGTTGTGAACACTGTGCTTTCGCTGTTAGCTCTGGACTATCCAGCAAATAAACTAGCATGCTATGTCTCGGACGATGGATGCTCACCTCTCACTTTCTTCTCTCTAAGGGAAGCTTCTAAGTTCGCCAAGATTTGGGTTCCCTTCTGCAAGAAATATAACGTTAGAGTTAGAGCTCCTTTTAGATATTTCTTGAACCCTTTGGATGTAACAGATGATTCAGTATTCATTAAAGACTGGGAAATGACGAAGGTAACATATATAAGTTCATTTGATTAGTACTGATAAGTTCGCCAATATGATGTTTTCATGTTTTTTTGTATTAATATAAAGAGAGAGTACGAGAAGTTATGCCGGAAAGTTGAAGATGCTACTGGAGATTCCCACTGGTTGAATGATGCAAATGATGATTTTGAAGCTTTCTCAAACGCAAAACCAAATGATCATTCAACAATAGTTAAGGTATTGTTATATTTAACAAAACTATATATTCAAAGTTTCTTCTCTTAACAAATCTCTGTTTAGCACATATTATAAGGTTTCATTATAATGATTATTGAAATCTTGTTTTATGTGTCTATGTGAAGGTGGTATGGGAGAACAAGGCAGGTGTGGGAGACGAGAAAGAAGTCCCTCATCTTGTATACGTTTCAAGAGAGAAAAGACCAAATTGTCTTCATCATTACAAAACTGGAGCCATGAACTATCTGGTTAATGTTTTATCTCAAACAACTTATCTCAAAGTATATAAGTTTTGCTTATCTTTTTAATCCGCCAATAACTATTCTGAAATCGTACGAGTTTCTTTAAATATGATGAATTGATGATTACAAGATAAGTTCTTTCAAGTAAAGTTAAAATAGTAAAATATTATGAAGAAAAAGTATAATACTAAACTTTCTCAACTTTAAATGGAAATCCATATTATGTTTTTTTTTCTATATAATCAAAATGTTATGAGCCTAAGATTTGAACAGTTGAGAGTGTCAGGGTTGATGACGAATGCACCATACATGTTGAACGTAGACTGTGACATGTATGCCAATGAAGCAGATGTGGTTCGACAAGCAATGTGTGTGTTTTTACAAGACTCAAAGCAATCAAACCATTGTGCTTTTGTTCAATTCCCTCAAGAGTTCTATAATGCTTACACCATCGAACTCTCATTCCTACAATCAGTGCGATATCTCACCCTTCTTTTACATTTTTTTACTTAAAACTTTTGTTGTCATTCATCAACCGAACCGATACTTACTCATATGTTTTATGCGTTGAAATTAGTATAT